GTGTGTAACAAATGAATTTCAATAATAAGATCTTGAATTATTTTTTTTTAAGTTGAAGAGTGATCATCAGTGGAATCCAGTATGTATGTTTTATCCTATTTAGGTTATATCGGGTGAATGTATTTTCATCTTAGTGTTAATGTTTACATTGTGACTTCAAACCTAGTTCCTTCTTTCTCAAACTCCACTGCGTTATCCATTAAGGTATTAAGTCCACATAGTTAGTGGTTCGCTAAACCGGCAGGAATTTGTTTTGTTATCTAATCTGCAATGTCATAAAGTGATTATACCTTCAATTATTTTAAAAAAATCAGCGTGAATAAGATTACTTAACAGGTTTTAGATATCATGATTATGCAGACGTTCAAAAGTTTTGTATTACATATCATATTAAATTTTGGGTTAGTACGTCAAAGAAATCCAGAACTTAGCCGAAACAATTAATCAATGCTTCTTAGTTTCAGTTAATATTACTTTATGAAGGAAACTAATTTTCCGTGGATCTTGAGGTATGTTTACAGTCCTTATATTTTTAATAGAATGAGTAAAAAGTACAAATATATTATTTATGTTTTATAAACCAAATGACTGTTAACTTGTATGTTAATGAAAAGAATCAGCTTTATGGTGTAAATACATATATTAAAAGTATGTAACTCTATGCTTCTGATTAACATGGAATTTAGTTAAAAAGAGTTTTTTGTATCACATCGGAACTGTAGAATATTTTTCACAAAATATTTCTATAAAAAGGTATAATGATGAGAATAGAAGATCTCAGAATAGTTTTATTCTCTATCAGTACACATTTTATAAACATAGTCATTTGTAGTGTTGCGTTATAATTATTTCCTACCGGTATAATGATTGAAGTCTTCCAAATACTTCATTAATACATCATTTAATTAAAAGAAGTAAAATGTTTAGTTAAACAAACTCAAAGTACATTACACTAGCAACTGACTAGTAAATAGTGTGGTGTGTGCTACTTATATTGACATAAGTAGTATATGATGTTAGTCGTGAACAGAAGGTCTGGCAGCAGAGAGACAAGAGGATCGAACAGTAAAGAATAGAAATAAGATGCAATTTGTTTGAAAATGCAAGAACAATGAAGTCTGAGTCATTTTGAGACAATTGATGGACATTTTGCAAATTAAGCATTTACATTATAATTGTTAGATTTTATTAACAAGTCCTGTAATTTTGTGTTAAATACATTCGATTGTCCCCACCCGTGTTCTGTTCACTACAATAGTACAACAAAATGACTAAATATTTTCAGCTTACTACAATACTTTCAAAAATAGAGGGTATTGTGAGTATTCACCTGTTCAAGTTTAATAGAGTTTAACATATTAATTTAATAATAAAAATACATTATGGTGGCATAAAAATTACCAAACTGAGGAGAAAAATTTCTTCTTGTTCAAGACGTAAAACATGAAACAGCTATTGAAAACTGGACTGAGATAACATTGAAGTAATGGTATGATATTTGTAAGCTGAAAATCCTCCCTGATGAACAGAGTGATAGAAGCACTTCGTGGAATTGCTTGGATATGGTCGTTGATTTGATGAACGAGTTGTATGTATACTAATTTATCGATGTATAAATGAAAAAAATTCCTGTTGACGAAAATGTTAGAATCGAAATAGAGAACCAACATCAAAAATTAGATAAATATTACATCCACAGTTAAAACCACGAACTGATGTTCAGTAGACCACCATTGAAAACCTGGAAGTACGAGATAGCCGTCTGGTTCTAGTTCGAGACCGCTTAGCAGTGAGGATTGATGATCTTAGATGCAGGAACCAAAACCAGGACATTTGATTTCGCGCATGTACGCTTAACCTCTAGATCACTGAATGTGAATGTCTAGCTTCAATCAATCCATCATCTTGCATAGCTTTTCATTCATTACCTATGTTGCGTAACTGTCTCAAACCCGAAACGGTAGAACTCCACTGGCTACCACTTCTTACTAGAACTCCAGGAGTTAAATCTTGAAGCGTATCGCTAGTGAACAAATGATTGTTATTAGTTGGGAAAATTTGTGGAAATTAAAGTATTTTCACAGTTGAAATCGTTATAAATATTATTTCCGTTTGTTCGCATTAGAATTCACAAGGAGAAATAGTAAGTTCAGTTTCTTATACCTTTTCAATTTAAAGATGGGAAAGACTCGGTCACACCCTGATCTGAATATTACTGCAAATAAATTGGCTTACACATTGAACATTAAATAAATGATATTTTAACTAAAATTTGTATTGTAAGCAAAGATAGAAGATGGCTAGCACTGGAAACTAAGATGCGCGTCTCGTCCTACTTAGGACTCATCAGCTGGATGTGCCTGCGTCTCAGAGTTGATGCTCACTCTGGGACTCGAGCTTAGTACCGTTTGCTCCAAATCGCATCACATTATCCACTTAGCTACTGAGTCCTAATAGGCACTCGTTTGTGCAGTCGGGTGAAGTTTATATTCATTTCGTATTGTTTGTTCAAATCTTCCCACTGATGTTTAGGACTGCAATAGATCAGTCTGTTATTGACATATATACATCTTGTGCGGATGGCTTCGACATTGCCTGAAGTCACAAGCATTATATGCAAAGATGGGTGGTACATACAGCTGGTGAGTTCAGAATAGTACGAAACGCGCATCCTGGATTCCACTGCTAACCACTATATATCTTTGCATATAATGCTTATGAATTAAGGCATTATCGAGGCAATGCGCACAGGATGCTTTATATATCAACAAGAGACTGATGAATTGCAGTCCTAAACATCAATTGGAAGATTTAAACAAACAATGCAAGATGAATTAAGATTCGTGTCTTTAAAAAAATCTCATACTGCATTCTAATCAAGAGTTGAATATGTTAGAATAAAGTATTTCACTACAGTTATTTGAATTAATATCATTACTTTAATCGTTTTATGTTAAATTATTCCTCGTGAAGTTGGTGATGCGTTAAAGTTCAGCAAGAAAATTAACTTTGAGATATATGCATGGCCTAATATCGTAAAACTGAAAATATTAATCTATTACAATAATTAATTTCTTTAGGAAAATAATCCAAGTCATTGCAAGTCTCTTTAGTAAAGCTTTATTATATGGGATTCTAAAACGACATGAACCTTTGTAATGTTTGCATAATTTTTGAAATCAAACTAAATTTCAGAAAATATAACAGGATTTTTAAAAAGACAATGCGCTATTAGTTATTATGATAGTAATTTTAACATTAGTAGTTCATTGGTATTCAGATATGACTGTTGTATTATTTGATGTCCGATTTCGATACTGACACACCGTTTTTCTAAACACGAGTCCAATGGCTATTCGGGTCAAAATAGTCAGAGTGATAAAGGAAGTCTATTGACCAATCCAATCGTTCTGTATGTATACTCACATAAATACGTATTAGTCTGTTCCTAAGAAAATCAAATCACCAATAATGTATATCTCATTCCTAAAAAATGTAAAAACTCTCGTGGCCAGTCGCGTGCATCTGTCACTTACCCAAATTCTGATTGACTCAGTGTATTATCCTGCCTTCCTGAAGAATAAGTCTGGCTTCTCAGAGTTAGTTGAAGGCGTTAAGTTTGTAGCAGATTATAGTAAATATGTTTATAATGTGTTGATATCGCTCATATTTTAAATATGTTTACATGTTAGGCTCAGTAGTAAGGAAAAACATCGAAATCCCTGGGTTAAAGTAAAATATGAAACACTTCATTTACTTCAACTGTTTATTAAAATTTCAATCTAGTACAGTCAGTGCAATGTTTCTTTAAGGATCTCTCAATGGAAAACCAAATATTATTTATAAAAGTGTTTTTGAAGTGAAAAATATAAGAAAATTGAATAAAATTGAGCTCTAATTTTGATTTGAACTACTGTAATGAAGCTTAGGAGTAGGAAAATAGGCTAGAGCCTTATTTATAAGATTATCAACTGTTACTCTGAATACCATTAGTGCTAATGGACCTCTCTCAGCCAGGTTTAATCTATTTATTGGGGCAAATAATCACATTACGGTTTTCTGAAATTGTTAAGAGGTATTTAGGACTATATAATTCGATACTGACTATTTTTGAATAAACAACAAGTGCATTTCACTTTTCGCTATTCGTAACCTACTGGAACATCTTGACATTAATTTTATTTAACGAAAAAGTTTGAACCTATTCTAGATTGGAGAAATGACTTGCTTGACGGATCCGACAAACAATAAACCAACATTTAATGCGCTTGAATAGCTTTCTTCAATCATCCACAATTCAATAGATATAGTAGAAGTAATACAGTTTAATTACATTGTAAATAAATAAACCATTTGAATTGTGTTTTGTTTGTTGAATCTAAATGACAAAATAGTGAGTTACCCGTTTTCTGGAAACAATAGGTGAATTTCTACGTGAAATTGATCTATTGTTGTGCCTTGTAAAATTTAGGTCACGATGACTTATTTAGTTATGTAAATCTATACATATGTTTAACTATTTCGATTAGTGTCAAACTTGATTAGGGTTTTCTGTAAAATATTAATCAGCATCATTTGACTAAGATTACAAACTAGTCGGCATATCAGAACGTATAAATTGATCATAGATAAAACAGGATAGTAATTCATTTTAAAGCTTTATTAATTTTAATTATATTTTCGAAATAAATCTGTGATTTTTGTTAATTAGTCTCAAATATTGAATTAATCAACATTAGTTTAACGCAGTTTATATTGAATAACATTGGAATAGGATTTGTAGCGAATGACAACACAAGTGGAGACAATCGAATGTATTTGAACATAAAATTACAAAAACTTCATTGTCCCTGCATTTTCATACTAATTAATTTCTGTTCCTGTTCTTTCCTTCGTGATATTCTGCTGCCAAATATTCTAATCCTGACTATTGTTATATACTACTCATATCGATATAAGTAGCGCGCACACACACACACTACAGATTGACGTAATCAACTTTATATAAAACAATTAACCATATAGATTAGTTTAAAAGAATTCAAATGAAACTTACTTTGATTAATTTGAGAAAATTGATTCAGTTTCCTATTTAATAATGTAAAGATTGTTGACCAAATTTCGTTTGAATTAAAATTTCCCATTGATAAATATGATTTGCCAAGCTTTTCGATCTCAGTAAATAACTTATCATTACTATTATTATTATTATTACTATTATTATTGTAATTTTTATATAACACAGTATTCAAGTGAATTTGTAATGGATTACGTAAATCTAATGGTTTATCATTATTTACTGAATAATATGAATTGGAATATATCGGATTCGATGTATAATTATAATTAAATATTGAATTTGTTAATTTTTGAAAATGTTTTCTAATACTATTTTGTTTTAAATATAATTTTTCATTATCATATAAAGATTTTATTGGTAATGGTGATAAATGTGGTAATGTTAATATTGACGATGATCCTGACGATGAGGATGATGATGATGATGATAAAGAAGACGATAAATAATTATTCTTTTTAAGAAGATTACTACAATGAACAATTTGATTAATTTCATTTGATGAAGTTATAGGCTTTAAAATATCATTGATTTTATTTTCAAAGTTATTATTCTGATTAGTAATAGATGTTTTAAAAGGATTAAATGCATAGTTACTATATATTGTATTGATTGATTCGAAAATTTTATTGTGAAGATTGTCACCATCTTGATTATTATTATTACTACTATTATTATTATTATTAGTAGTAATATGGACTGTTTGATGTAAAAAGTTTTCTATGTTTCTTGTTTTAATTTGATTAGTTTTATGTATAGGATTTATAGATTTATATGGTAAATTTTTATTAAAATATTCATTTTTCATTAATTTTGATTTTAAATGAATTAAATTATTTTTATTAAATTTATTAGTAGATTTTAATAAAATTTTTTTCTTTTTATATTTTCTAGATTTTAATGTATAAATTCGTTTATATTGATGATTCCATGATGTTTTATAAATATTTTTATATTTTTGATCATTTGTTATTAAATTAGAATAATAAACAATAGGATTATGTATTGTATCTAATTTATTTTGAATATAATGACATTTTAATTTATTATTTATTTGTTGAATAGTTGAATGTTCAATTACATTGTCTAATTTATTTTTATTATAATCTTGATTAAATTTAAATGAATGATTCGATGTAATGGAACATGATGATTTAGGTTGATATTGACATTTCTTCTTTGTATATGATTCATTTAATTCTTGTCTAGGTAATTGATGCTTTAATAAAGGTAGAATATTAGGATTTAGAGTAGTATCTTTATAGGAATTTGTATTCATAGAAGAATTACCGGTATTAATTGTATTTGTATTATTATTCTAGAGATAAATAGAAAAATAAATAATTAAAACAATTAATCTTTATGCATTCTTAAATCTCAATGGGAAGATACAAGTCAAGCAATACCAAGTGAATTTAAATTCATCCCATTGCATAAGCAAGTGGCTATCAGGACTCAGTAACCGCGTGGATAACGCGATGGTATTTGAAGCGAACTGTACTGGGTTCGAGCTCCAGAGTGAACATCAACTCTCAGATGCAGGTACATCCAGCTGACGAGTCCCAAATAGAACGAAACGCACGTCAAACTGGATTCCACTGCTAGCCACTATCCACCATTGCTTGCAAAAAGCTTGTGAATTAAGGCAATATCGAGGCATACGCACAGTATACACATTTGCCAATAACAGACTGATTATTTGCAGTCTTAAACCTCAATGGGAAGATACAAGCCAAACAATATCAAGTGAATGAGTCTTTATGATAAATTTCAATAATACGATGAGAAGATGAAGTTTACCTTCGTCTGAGTATTAATTCATTCACTTCACATATTCATTTTAACCATTCACAGCTAATTCTATACGATTACATTGAGTTTCAAGCAAAAAAGTTGTGCATACTTTATGACTATATTATAAAGTATTGACCAAGATTAAAAATACTATTGAGTTAGTTTAATGAAATAAATGTAAGAGAATTATGAAAAAGGACAGGTTCATACAGACAGTTCTCTTAAGACGAAGATTTACTGTTATGAGTTACTTAATGATAATTACAAAAACAATTGATCAATTAAATAAAGTAAGGAAATCTCATATTGAAAACAAGAAAGTAGGAAAATTTATAAATGATGCAGTGATATACGATATTACTTAGATAATTGTTAGAAACTGAGGTTATCACAGTTATATGAAGTTGGCAATATTGTTTTCTGACTAAATGAAAATGACCTAAACCTTTCTGCGTTGATGAATCTAATAAAACTCAGTAAACAAGCAATTGTTTACATATCGATTATTTGAAACATCAATGTTCTTTTTTCTGTTATGCAAAAGGCAAGTTATTGTTTCTCTTAATAGATCAATTTAATATCAAATTTTAGTACGTACATATAAGCTAGTAGACACCTTTGGAGGTGACAATAAGAGGGAGTTTATATGATTATGAATGTCTAAACAAACAGTAAGTTTGGCATGGTCATAAACTCCGGAACCATTATTATTATTATTTTTGTATTGCAGTAACTTAAGTATTAAAATTGAATTAATCTATTTTGTAAGTTGAAGATAGCAAAATTCACGTCAATTAAATCATTTTCTATCCAAACTGGGAAACGGATCATTGCATGATGCTCTTAATGTGGCACTTACATTAGCAATACTCTAATATTCTTATCCTTATGTTCTCGTGAACACGTACCGGTGTGGTTAGAAAAAGATGTAGTGAAGTTTGTTAATGGTACCATTCTTTCCAACCTAATTGAAAATGGACATGACATTAAAATTTAAAGATACTTTCTCAGTTACATTATCAGTTTCCCAGTAAACTACCAAAAGGCGCAAGAATATGCTTACGCTACACAGCTGAATCATTTGCTGCTAATTCTAACTAACCTGACTCATGTTTATAAAATGAGATAGATTCATCACTTTTGTTTATTTTGGCATAGATTGGGGCCGTTTCATTCTTACTTTCAATTTTATCCTTAACTCTTCATTATGATTTACACTTCCTTCCATGACATTTTTCTTATACTAATTTATACAGTTGTGTTTCTTGTTTTACATGATGTTCTTGTCAATAACTATTTCCGTTGTTGTTATTGTTGCCATTGTTATTGTTACTATTTATATTTCAAATAAGCATTATGGAACAATTCCCATTTTGTATAAAAATTTCACATAAAATCTTAATGATTAGAGCTCATTTTCTTACCCTTAATGCATAATCTATTCTCAATATTACCAATAACTTCATTTTAATTTGTTAGTATTTTGTACTATTTAATCGACGTAAAATTTATCATTTTCAATTTATAACATGGATGGATTCAACGTCGATAGTTGAATTCATGAATCTATTAAAGCCATACTTCCATGGGAAACCTGGAAGCACTGGACGGCTGTTTCGTCTTGGTGTGGGACCCCTCAGAAGTGCGCGTTCACGATCCCGTTCACGAGATTCGAACTCAGGACCTTCGGTCTCGCACACGAACGCTTAACCTCTAGATTACTGAGCCGTCATTCAACGGTGTTAATGCTTAACTTCAACGCTGGTACTTTATCTAATGTAATACAATAATAATTATTGTTTCACTGAAGAGGTTATTGAAAATGATTGTCCGCCTTAATACATTTCGGGAGGGGGTCATTTAATTATTTATCAATTATTTTCATGATTTCTATTTAAGAATTATTTCTAATGAATTATATAAAATTTATGCAAAATAATGTTGAAATACCTTTAGAATATTTACAAATGAGACGATTGAAATTTTGTGTTTGAATCTTCTCGTTGATGATGTTATAACGATCATAATTAATCATTTTCTATTGACATATGTTAGTCCTAAGTGTATTGACTGGACATTATCATTTAGTCAGAAATACATTAATAAATTTAGTTAGTTTTTAGTAACGATATACGTTTCATCTTATTTGAGACTCGTTATCTGGATATACCTGTATCCTAGAGTTTTTTACTAATTATTTTCATGATTCCTATTTTAGAAAAAAATTACTTTTACAAACGGTATCACTGAAAGCTTGCATTCAATTAAACAAGTATGATAGACGATTTATTTATAATTTAACATAAGAAAAATTTATTTTTATAAAATGTAAATAGAAAGTCTTACCATACATTGTTCATTCCGACATGGAAAAGGTAAATCAATCATTCTGTTTTATTTGATTTCACAATTTTCGTCTTATTGAGTGTTGTCTTGATTTTTTGGATCAATCTCTCCTCAATCGTTTTATTGATATTCTTGTGTAAACAGTAGAATTTTAATGATACAATAAAAACTGTAAAATGATCCGTATCGGGTATATGATTAGTAATTATTCAAAGTGTTTATACTCATAGTGTAGATAAGTAATTGTTTAAATAACTATTACAATATACATATATATACTTTATAAATTAATTTTTCACCAGAATTCCGATGTTTATTCATATATGCATGTAGTTCATTCAAATGTCTTTCATTATATGTATAGATGTTTTACGATACTGAATGAAAAGTAACAAAGGGAACTATATTACTTAAATACTAATAAATGAATTCCAATGTATTAAAATAATTAGTAATTATATTTTAAAAAATTTTTTGCAATCATATTATCACGTGTTTATTTGTTTATATTTTGACTTTTAGTACAAAGTTAATTGTATAGTTACAATTGCAAAGTAAATTCTCTATAGTACTGATAACAGTATTCAAATAGTTTTAATGTTAAAAGTACTATTAGTAGAAATGCTTTTGCATTTCAGATTATATATATGTATACCTATGTAATACCTGTTGCAGTAAATGAACACCACTTTTAATGAATAAAAAAATCACAATCCATAAGGTCATTATACAAAATGTGAGAAATTTAAATGGAATTATGTATAAGAGAAGCTAGTTGATTTATAAATGTAATGACTATATGTAACGTATATGTATTTAACTTTTGATGTTATTGTTGTTTAAGTTGGACTATTTTGAATCAGAAATATTTGGCGCAATATAGATTTCGTATAGCAGTAATTTTTATGTTTTATAATCTGTGAACAACTTGATAAATATACTGTATAGAATGTAGATATAATTTGAATGGATATAATAATAATATCTTTGTCAAACAACGGTAAGTTTATTGAAGTATTTCAATAACATTCATTTTGATATTTCGCATTATCACTTTGTATAATTATTCACTTCAGACAAGTTTGGTCGAAGCATGGATTGAATGGAATATAAAATATGGTTACAGGTTGTTATATTTATCTATGTAATCAAGTTAGTAACAAAACCAGAGAAAGATATTAGTCTTTAATTAATCTTTACAACAATATATCTATCAGAGAAATCTTATGTTTATTTCAATATACTTTGTATGAAAATGTATAATCATACATACGTACACAGTTGCACATTTTTATCAGTGTTTAGTTATTTTTCTACCAATTAAACATTAAATGAATGAGGTATGAGAAAAACATTTTGTGTTGGCCTAGGAAATGGCGCTTTGAATCCTGGTAACCCAACAAGTAACCTGGTCACTACAAATCTATATATGTGAATAAACGATACCTGGCATTGATTGCATCAGCGAAAGCCACTTCACCATATGTAAAAGCATTACGAAAAGGGAGGAAATTGTATGTGTTTTTTATGACTTGAAAAATAAATCGACTAGTGGAGTCCACAAGTAGAAGATAGGAAATTTTAAAAATTTTGCAATTTCATCCAATTATTTATCCTTTTTTTCTAGGTATCTCTTTCTTGTTAATTGATAGTAACTGTGAATTTTGTAATTTCTACATAGGTGAGAGAAATAGATCATTATGTGTTTTATTTAGTTGCTGTTCTGCACCAAGACTGTGTAGGCGAAAAAGAAACATGATAGGAAAACATATTTAGGTAAGGAAAAAATAGATTAGCACAAAAGTTTGTGTTAACAACAATATAAACTCATATAAAATGTATTGGATAAATGATAGTAGTACGTACATTTAGTGTATGCTGATTCTAATTGTTTTATTATAATTTCAGTTTGAAAAGAAATTCTTATTGCTTAAATCTAAATAAATGATAAATTTTCTTTCTAGTATCTTTAAATCAAATTAAAGTGTTTACAAACACAGCAGGTAATGGAATATTATTAATTTTATTGGAGATAAATAACTCTGAGATGCACATACATCCAGCTGACGAGTCTCAAATAGGACGAAACGCGCGCCCTGGATTCCACTGCTAGCCACTATCCATCTTTGCTTATAATGCTTGTAAATTAAGGCAATATTGAGACATACGCACAGTATACACATATGCCAATAAGAGACTGATCAATTTCAGTCCTTAAACCTCAATGGGAAGATACAAGCAAAACAACACCAAGTGAATATAAATAACTATGGTTAATGAAAATTGCATTTAATAGTTGAGATCATGAGTCAATTAAAGCTAGACCACCATGGAAAACCTGGAAGCACCGGAAGGCCGTTTCATCCTTGTTATATCCGAGCAAAGATTAAATCACGAGTAACTTCTGAGACATTAATTGACTAATATTATCTATATATTCTTATGCTACAGCTATTCAACAATTAGATTATGTATATTTATATTCCTTTTATTATAAGCTTTATTTTGACCTATAATTTATTATGTACGATTTACGGTTCTTAAGCTATGTTTACTGCCTCCCACGTTTACAGCCTCCCACGTTTACAGCCACATTTGGCCAAATCTTGTACAAATGCTATTTTTTATTTTATGGTACGTTGTGGTTGATATATAAACCGAGTATGTTTGAAATAAATGATTAATATTGCAGAAGCTGGTATCGTGTTCTGAACTCAAGCGGACAGGCTAGGCGGACATAGGACCAATAAGGACGCTAGGCTGCTCATACCGGTCGAGCGTCATTGGTTTGGCATAGTGCTAAGATTGTGTAAGTCGTATTTTGATTGATGGATAGATCACATGATAAAAGCCGGACATAAAATCATAACAATCCTACTGTAGGATTCCTCAGCGATGCATATCCACGATCTTGCCCCGCAGGATTCAAACCCAGGACATCACATTTACTGATAGTTTCTACAATGGGTTTCATCAGTATTCGATATTATTGAAGAAAGGTCATTACTTCAGATTTGTAAACATGAAAAACGCATATGATAACTTTTAACAATAGGCTAAAATTCTCATATATCATGATTAATAAACCATTAAGGAAGTCAAAAAAGGTTATTTTCAGTGATTATAGTAATGTACCCGTAAAGTAAGTTGAGTTTGAGTGCATAATACTTGCAGTATTTATCATAATTAACAGAGTCGAAGATTCTGAACCTTTTTCTGTATATTTTTTCCCATTAATTGAACCATATCTTTGTAGGTGCATCTGACTCTATAATTGATCTATTCCATTTTTATATCCCATATAATATATAGACGGATTACTTATACAATTAGACTAGCTAGAAACGCGACATTAAAAGTCGAATACGAAATGTGTAAGAAATATCATATTTCATGCATGTAAATGAAGCGTATGAAACACTAATTCGACTTGAAAGCCGAAATCACTGAATGAATTATATATCCTTAGATTATGTATTATAAGTTGGTAAACAGATATACATTTTGGTGAGAATGTAGAAAATGTACATTTATGGTAGGTCACAGTTAATTAATAGAAACCAGTACAAAATTATTAGATGGATACAAATGATACACATATACTCACGTCATTGTCTGGTATAATATATGTTCAAATAAGGATAGACTCATTTAGAATTAAATAGCACTCAGTTGACAGACATCCTAAATACAAGTTTCTTATATAGTCATTTTAAACTTAATTGGAGTCCAAAGTCTTAAATACTAGACGATAAAATATTTTACTCCTCACTAAACACCACATAATTTCCAGCTACAATAAAAACTTTGACTAATTAGCTCTGAAGCTTCTGAGTTCAAGTTTGGAAATATTTATAAATGTTATGGAGATACTAAGAAAATGAACCCAGTAACCATACATGCATTTCAACTATTATCACATATTAATTTGCATTAAAAACAGTTGACCAATTAATGTAATATCAATTGTGTTCACCTTATTATTGCTGGTGTTTTTTTAATTGAACACGTTATCGACAATGAAGTAAATAGATAAAAAAATATCAGCAGTTAATCCAGTCATAAAGCAAATAGAAAAGTGTGAGATAACACTTGGTTAAATGTAAAAAATTTTACTGTTATCTAACAACGGTAACAATAACATTAGTGGCGGAAATTGAAGAAGGAATAAAGTTGGAGACAAAAATAAAATTAGAGAACAATAAAGCATATGTGTGAAGTTTCAAATTAAATTAAGGTATCATAGTCACAATGTCATTGTTATCTAAAAAATTTTCAATAACATCTTACAATCCAAATGATCTGTGTTTTCGACAAGTGTTGAAAATGTTATGAACTAAAGTTTGAAGAAAATGAAGTCTAAAGATCCACCCTTTAATCATTATTATTAATAATAGTAATAATAACGTAATTTGAACAAATTAATATGTATTTCTCTTCTTGATATTATTTCTCTGTCTACTCTGAATGATGTGAATTGAATTTCGGGTCAAGGTCTTACTGTCTCAATGTATAGCATAGTCTGTTTACTATTATTATTAATATGTGTTCAAATATTGACTTTTAAGTTTATAAAACATAATAGAAAATTTTATTCTAGACAATAAGATAATATTCATTAGGATGTAACATAAAGCAATAAGCTATAGAATTAAAAAAAATCATAACAAAGAAAACTTTATTTGGTGGATAGTTGTTGATGAGTCTGTAACTCAATTTCTGTATCAATAAATTACATAAGGCACAGTGTGTATGTATGTGTCTGTGTGTGCTTATAGTCTTATATATTCCATGTTTTTATAATTGCTAATAAAAATGTCAGTTTATCAACTAAATGGATGCGTATAAAGGTAAAGATTTAATTGAATATGAAACAGACTAAACAAAATTAGAATTGTTTTTGAAGTGTAATTCTAAAGTATTTGATATAGTATTTATGATGTATATGAGTGATTAATTGAAAGTCACTTAAATAAATCAAAATTTTAGTAGAGGAAATCACAAGTGAACAGATGAACTAAGAAAATAGTTACTGATAATTA